TGAGCAGAAGGCGAGAGCCTTGTAACTCATTGCAAATAACTCTTCTAAAAGTAGAGGTACAGATGCATAACTGAATATTCACAGAATTGTGTAAAAGGAGAGATCTTTTGAACCATCAGTGAATTATTTTTTTTTTCAGTTGCTATTTTAAGACTGCAGTCATAACTTTACCAATGCAGGGAAACTATCCCACATATTTCCCCTGTGTGGGCATTTACCAGTCCCACTGCAGAAATATAAGACTGGAAGAGATGACTTCAGGTCATCAAGGACTAATCCCTGCTGTTCCTTCCAGCCACATAATAGGTTGTCATAGCATATATGGGACTTGATGTCTTTCAAAGGTAGTGAAGCTTTTTTTGCCATGCTACTTAATGCAGAACAACTGCTCCAGATCATCACTTCTTTGATGGTTAGAAATGCAGACTAATTTTACAGCTTTTTGTGTGTGTGGATATCTTTTAGCTTGAATACTGCCTTCTGTGTATGTAACTATGTTATAAATGTTTGTATACGTGTGTGTGTAATGTTACATAGTTCAGAAATATTCCCTCTTGATAGGGTTTGTTATGTTTTTTCAGTCTCCACTTGTGAAATAGAATCTCTGCTTCCTGGTCACTTCAGTGTCTTTTTGCTGCACTTCTTCCCATTAGAACTTTTGTTCTTCATAATAATAAGTATTACGAGCGCCATGTGCTATTGTTACTGCCTTGCGTCTCATGGAAAATTCTGTGTGATTTATATTTTAGGATTGTATTTAACTTTCTCTACCAAAATCACATTAGTGAATCTTGATGTCCTTTGGTAAGTTACTATTCCAATGTCTTTATCCTCTGTCAACTTTCAATTTATAACCTTTTGGTTTATGACAGATATTACTTCTAAATGAATGACTTTGCCCCCTGTACTTTTCAATTTCGCTTTTTTCTCTTTTCAACTTTTCTTTCTTTCTTCAGTTTTCCTTTTTTTCTTTCTCTCTCTCCAAGAGTGCTTTGAGTTGTTATGAAGGAGAAGTTGGTGTACATGTCACGATAATCATACTGAATAGAAAATAATGCTTGCCATAAAATGTGTGCTAGGAATCCTGCTAGAATTCATGGAAACAGTGGATAGGGGTTTTTTGTGTGAGTGCATCTAATATTACATAGAATAGGAATATTTTCTGTCTCAGGAATGGCAACTTGTTTAACATATGCCTTTACCTTTCACTGTACTTGTTTTTCAATCACTCTTGAAATGTGAAGTTAGTATTTGATATGCCAGGTATAATATGGCAAGGTTTGTCACAAACAACAGGAGACATTATCTGTTTGTACAACTTAAGCAATAAATCATATGGCTTCCAAGAGGAAACACAAGTTGACTTGAGATAGCCACACAAATAACCTTTCAAAATAAAATTTCTTATAAATTGTGTAACAGATGATAAGTACAGGTTTTTAAAAGTGCCAGAGAGAAATCCAGGTGGTGGAGTAGTGTAGAAAAGGTCGGTCACTCATTTTGGTCAAACAAGGAATATAGACATACACCACCACGCCCCAAAAAAAAAAGGTCTGGTGCTTAATCTTCTTACAGGATAGGCTGATAACTAGAAAGAGGAGGCTGGTAACAAAAGAAATATAATGGGAAAATGATCTACTCAAAGTGTAATTAATACTAGCATCTGTCACCATTTAATGAATGCTGCACTAATCAGAGGATTTTGTCATGCTAGTAAAATGTTTAGCTACTTACCCGTAAAAGGCAGGCATTCGCATGTATACAAAACTCATGTTGTTCTGTGCAATGTTCCACATATAATCTGTTCATATAACAGGATAACTGAATTTTATCAAATATGCAACTGTGGAATTGCATGTTTAGTCAGAGATTGGCAACTAGATCCTCTTAACAAATACAACAGGACATCTAGATGAGCAAATAGTGTAATTAGGCAAACAGTTCTGATGACTGTTCTTGTTCTTTACACATCATTGTTCCTACTATTTAGTGTTCACTTCTACATCTTCAATCAGTTTCTGATTAAATCAATTGATACTGGTTAACAGCGTATTATTTTGGATATTGAGAACTACAGTAATTTCTTAAAAGATCCTGTAGTTAATTGTTTTCATTTAAAAAAAAAAATTCATTTTAAAAAAAAAGCAAACCCACCTTTGCAATAAACTACCCAATTCCATGTCAGATCGCTATAAACCCTAAATTAAAAAAAAAGACTCTTAGGAGTTTCAATAAAATTTCAGTTTTAGGAGACATTAATAAGTGATTGTTTTATTGTGTGTGAGCTGGTTGGTTTTCAGTTGTGAGTACCTTCAGGCTCTATTGAAACCTGCAAGGATAGTTCCTCCATCTTGAAAAATGGTACTATAAATTTAACTAAGTGTTGCTTTGTATCTTGGGCTTGTTTTCAAGTCTTAATAATGACACTTGATATATAACCTATTTGATTGACAGAAGATGCCATTTGAAGTGCTTAAGCCAGATGGATGGGGGGAGGGGAAATTAGATGTTATTATAGTAATTAAGCTGAAATTAACTTCATGTTTTAGGAAACAATTTTTTGCAAGATAAGTCTGATTTTAAGTAAAGATCTGTGGGAGATGAACTTTTTCCAAAGTCATACAATTTTATTTGCATTTGAAACCTGGAGGATGCTGTAACAGTTACTGCCTAGCTGGACCAATTCTATTCAAGTCTCTCCTTTGACATGTCAAAGGATTTGAGTTCTCAACAAACAAGAGTGCAGAAATTTCACTAACAGGGGTTTAAGGAGGATAGTTTTGTTGTGCACTATTTGTAGAGAGGACTTTAATTGCATAAAACTAGCAATTTTTTGTTGTCTTAATATCATTTCAAGCATAGTTTGATGACTTCAGGAGAAGGAAGCCATTTTGTTCCAGCTCAAAAAATGTTCTGTGCTGAAAAAGTGTATTTCCAAAATAACTGAACACTTTCATGGTAATGATATCACACAATAATAAGCAATTATTATCAGGAGAATGTTTGTTAAGCCTAAAATACATAGAGAAATCTTTTTTGCTGTCTTTAATTCAGATATATAAGTAAACAGTAGGCCTGTTTGGAAAATGGAAACAGTTTCTCTGGGATATTAATGCTGTGTTGGAAAAACATTAATATTATTGTCAAGTGTTTCTGTGCAAAGCTAAAACATGTTGTTTTAGCAATGTTGTCATGCTGTGTTATACTTTGGATGTGCAATAGTGTATCTCATTTCTTCCATGATGCACCACTGCTGGATGTATGCAGTTGCTAGATCTTATACATATGGTTTTGGGGAAGATTTGGGAATTATTTGGGCATTCTGCAATATTGAAGATGTAATCCAGCACAAGAACCCAATTGACAAAGGAAAATTTGGACTTTTAAAAACTGACACACAGTTTGTAATGTGTTGCAGTAGCAATTGCTACTGCAGTGGCATTTCAGGGCTTTCCTTATTGGTGGATCAAGGTTTTGCTACAGAAGGCATCACATAAAGCAATGTAAGTGGTTGGGTTTTTTCTTCCCCAAAGACTCAATTCTCTTGAGTTTTGGGTTGCTGGGTTGTTCGGGGTTTTTTCCCTATAAACATTACTAAATGCTTAACTCTGTGAAACATTCATTTATTAATTTGAAACTAGAGATATAATTTATATTGATTCCTTAAGTGGTTATTACTTGTGAAGTTCAGTACATACAGGCTTATGAAATTCCTTTTTCAATAGTGGTTGAGCTGTTATTTAAACATGCAATGGAGTATTTTCATATCAATTTCAATTGAGATATGTTAAAGATAATTTTAGGTAAGTCTCTGTTACCATTGTTTGCTATTATTTCTGTGTCACTGGTAGACTACAGATAATTTTTTTATTTTGTTTAGGCTGTTTTTTGTCCACTTATAACTAGTCTTTAGCATACAGGCACCAGTATTGCACTGAGTTGCAATGTTTAAGCTCCCATTTTAAGTTTTATGGATGGCTTTAATATTTGTGGCTTTCTTCAAAGGTGTCATGGTCAATCTAGTTTTGCATGCCAAGAATGATTTTCAGGTCATGAAAGTGTAATAGTTTATCAAGGTAAGCAATCACCACTATCTTCTGCTTAATGAAGTAGATGTTTTTTACTGTACCTGAGTACATTTATTATTGTCAGAGAAAGATTTAGTTATATTCTCTACTTACCTTACTTTAGGTAGTACATTCATTATCCCTGTTGCTTTTTGTCTTGGGAAACCTCAGGAATAATTCTACTTTTGTGTTACCAAAACTGTTTCTACCTGTTGTCTTGTTTCCACTCTTCCTGCTTCAATGTAGGAAAATAATTATGTCATCTTTTCTGTTGCCTTTATTAACCAAAAGCAATTTTCCTTATTTCATTTTCCACATACCCAGCAGCATTTATCATGAAAAACCACCAGATATATTTACTTGACTAGGGGTAGTGTATATTTTTACTTTGTTCATTTATCAAAAATCAATTATATGCACTCAGTAATGTGTTCAAAAGAAGGAAAAAAGGAAAGAAGGGTAGAAGGCAAAGCTAGAAAAGGATCACGATTTTTATATCAAGATGTGCTAGACTATGAAATGTCTTAGCTAAAGATGCACCAGTGTAATTTAAAATTTATTTTTAAACAAACTTGCTAAAGCTGGTCTAAACTGCTCTGTGGATGCTTATTGTAAAGATTTACTTGACTTTGGGTATAAACTAAATCAATTTGTGTTAAACTGAAATAAGTGTAAATTAAACCAAAGTAAAAGTGCCTGCAGCTTTTGGAAGGACTTTACTAAATTAGATTAAAATTGTGCACTTGGGTGCAACCAGTGTAAATGTCATTTGTTGGATGAAGCCTGAATTATCTGGAGAAGTGTAGTATCTAGAAGAAATAATGCTAATGCACAGTAAAATGAGGAAAATCACTTGTCGAAAAAGGCAAAATGATAGAAGCAGAAGCCCAGAAGAGTGTCTGAAGCTAGAGTTCTAAATAACATAATAGGATGATGGTGAACAATAGAGTGAAAGGAATGATAGCAGATGGAGATCGTGGGCAAGGGAAGCTGTGTGACTGGAAAGCCTCAGAAGAGCAGGCAGATATTTGTGACGGAAAATGCAATGTATGTTTTTAATATACATGCACATCAAATTATCATGACAGCTGATAATGGAAGGATAGATTTCAGCATTTGCGAAGTTGGTGCTACAGCTGAATTGTGCTGTTGTTACCTCCTATACAGTGTACAATGAGACCGAAACATACAGGTAATGAGTGTTAAGTTAATGTAAAAGAAGTAATTAAAACTGGATTGGAACAAACAATGTTTGAAGAAATAGAAAGGAAAAAAACTTTTCAGAGAGCATGTTACCTGTAGTACTGAGTTGATAACTGATAAAAAAAGGGGCATACTTGTCACCACAGCTTTTTCTGGAAACTGGAGAGTTGGGTAGGAATCAAATATATCTGAATGCCTGCACAGTGTGGTGGATTCTTTAGTATTCCTGTAATTTGATCAGGTAGAATTAAAGCTTTAAGTATGGCAAGTGAACTTTGAAAAGCACACTGAAATAGTTAGTCTGTTTTTTACAAGTGTGATGAGGTTTAGGGGCCAGTGCAATAGATGTTTTTTACAATTTAGAGTAAGAGATGAAAGTGAGCTGACCACAAAAGAATATAGGAAAACAGTTTTCAACTGGTATTAGATTAGACTGGTTGCAAATATATACAAATCAGGATGGTAAGTATCCAAGAAGAAAGCAGCAGATCATTGAACTAAGATTCATCTTAGTTCAATGTAATAAAAGGATTGCCGGTTACATGCACATACCCTGCTAAAGGAGATTTAAGGTATAAATTAGACCTGAAATTGTAACAAGGAGACCTTGAAACTGAAGTAAGGAGGACAAAACTAAAAGAAATGGTTTTAAATGAAACCTGTCAGTGTCTTACCTATCTAGAATGAAATGTATATTTTGCACTTAGATAGCATCCTTTGTTCTGTTAAACACTGGAATAATATCTTTGTGGCAGTCATATCTAGGTCTGCCTGTTTAATCACATTAATAAATGGCAAGCATCATGCTCATAATTGAAGACTCTGATCCTCAAGAGTAATTTTTTTATTTCTTCTGATAGTGTTGCTTTCCCCTCAGCACACACCCCCTTCCCTTCTGCATTGTCTCTCACTCTTATGCTCTTGAATTGTTTCCTCTGATCTTGTGCACAAGTCTGTGTAAAGGTAGCAGTTAGCCACCAATGCACCTGTGCTGTAAAGCATCTGTGAGGAAGATTTTTAGCTTGTTTGTTTGTTTTGCTTATTTTCATGCCTTTTTTTTTTTTTTTCTTCTTCTTCTTTTTTTCTTTTTTCCCGCAAGCTCTGGGGAAAGACACAAATACAGAAATAAACCAGGAATGTAACTGAGAGGAAGGGAAGAGTCTATGGTAAGGCAGCAGATTTCTTGCTCAGACATAACTACTGCATTCCCCAAAGGAAAAGACAATTATTTTTCCCAAGCTTTTTATTCCACCTTCCTTCTGTGTTTTACTAAAATGTTTTTTTCATAAGTGAAGCCTTTGGTATTCATGCACACACATGCAGAGCTAATCCCTTAGCTTAAATGGGCTGATGTTTCTGAATATGAGTGAAATGTGGGAAAAATTAACAGCTTCATACTTGATATATGTGAAATTTTTGAATTGTGACATTTCTCTTTCTCACTATGCACTTGAAATAGGAACAGTTTGCGTTGATGCCAGGAAGTCATCTTTCTTTCCATATGCCATTGTCTTTACTATTGTACCCTACTGCACGCACTGTTTTATTTTTGTTTGCTAAGTAAATTGTTTTATCTTTTCTTGCTTTTAATAGTAATTTTTTTTTTCTCCAAAACCGAAGCACACATAGGGGAGGGAAATATGTGGGCTTGTGTAATTACTATTGTGATCCTGAGAAGAATCTGTATAAACTTTTAAGTACACACTGTTGTCCAAAATTTCAACCTTATGGTCTCATAGAACTTCTTTCTTTCTTGTAGGACAGTTTCTTTGCACAGCATATGAGGTTTTGCACTTCAGACTCTTTAGTTATCTGAACTGGACATCCCATGGAAAGATTGAAAAATTTACCATGTTTAATAACTACCAGAGACCCCTATTCTTTTTTCCTCATAGATGCACATAAGAAGTAAAATACTATCCTGTACAGATGTGAAACACTATCCTGTACAGATGTGATCCTATCAGTGTAGGCAAAATAGTAATTTGTGTAACTTCCTATACTGTAGCAAATGCAAACATAGAATTTTGTAGCAATTGTCAAATGAAGCACGGGTGTTATAAGCCCTACTTTAAATTTGAAAAAAAGGTAATAATTTGCCAGAAGAAGAGCAAAAGGTATCTGATTTCTCACACAGCAGGCAGCAGCTAGTACCTATTTGATTTCACACTGTGCATGACCAAAATGTGGAATGACATCAGTGCATGGGTAGTATAATTTCCATTTGGTGAACTCTTCCACTGTTCTTCCACCCAGATGTAGTTCATTTTTTGTTCTTACTCCTAGAAAGTTTTCCTTCAAAGACTTCTGGGAACCCAAAATAAGTGAAGGCTTCATTAGCTGCAGCCTATTAATAATGCATTTTACCACATTATACAATGAAGCAGGTCAAAACCTACCAGCCATTTAGAGGTACACTAGTGCTATTTCACACATACACACCCCCAAACATGGTATAGTTCATTCTACCAGGCTACATTTTCTGGTGAACATTGTTCACATTCTTACTAACTAAATCAAGACTCAAAATAATCTCCTTTGTCCAATTACAGCAAAGAAACATGTTTTAATTAGAAATGTTCAAAATCAAGCAGAAAAATAAAAGCTTTATTAAAAAAGGGAAAAAAAAGAAGAAAGGTCAAAGCAATATAACAAAATAGATATGACAATGGTCCTAACAATCAACTCTGATTTCTTCTGTACTTCCCTCTCTCTGATTAAAAACTTCAAAGCAAATTCAAACCCTTCCTGAATCCCTCTTTCTCCAAGACAGTAGGAAATATGCCATATATTGTAGTTATGAAATAGTTTGTGGAGTTTGTAATTAAGGCCACTGGATGTTCTTAAAGAAAACAGTTACAATGGAGGTAGCATTGTTGGTTTGTATTATCTGCTGTAAAGCCTAGAGAGGCATTATTTCTTTCTAGATATTTCCAAAGAAACATGCAGGTCTGCAGTTCATACATGTTGTACCTTAACAGCATTACAGGACTATTCCTCACTGCCTTGAGATTTACTCTAAAAGTAATTTAGTAGGTCTTAAGTGCATTATAAATGTTCTAATTTTAACTCACATGTATTCTATGTATTTCAATAAACTGAAGAGTTTTATTACATGTGAATTTCATTATATCAAGAGGAAGAAATACTGGTGAACTTAATACAGATAAACCAGTCCTGTCTTTAAATTGCTGCTAGCTTACAAGAACCACTTTTCTTATGCGAATATTAACATCCATATTTATGTACATATGTGCTTATTGATTACTAACCAAAACTTCAGCGTGCTGATTGATCTTTCTTTTACATATATGTATAAACCTGTTATAAATAGCAGGGGGTACAAATATATACAAGTAACAGTACTGATACTATTTAATTAGTCAGATGACAGGTGGGACATTGTCCCTGAGTAGCCAGTCAGAAAGTGAAAGAATGTTGAAGAAGTGCTGTGTAGCAGCTATAAAAGCTTGCCCACATGCTAGCCTAGCGCAGTTGGAGACTTACTTTAATCGGCAGACATATTAAGTCTTTCTATTGATGTAGTGTAAATTAGGAGGGAGAGTGGTCTTGCTGGTTAGGTTAACTTCAGTTACAACTATTTACACAGCAATATCCATTGGGAAAAGCAGTATTAACTACTACTGTATCGATTTACTCTTCTTCATAGTGCCCTTCTACTTGCCTCATACAGTATTGGGTTTTTTTCTCTGATTATCCTACAAGACTTACCACTATGTCCATTCAGTTTATAATCGCTGAAATAGCAGAATGATCAGGTTAAGGAGATGGATCTAAAGCCACAATATGTTACAAGGAGTCTTCTATTCTGTTTTTCATTGGTAAATTAACAAATTATTCAATCAGATATGAGTGTTAATCACTTTCGGGATAGTACTGGTGAAATTGTGTGATATGAAGCTAATAGTTTAGTGCAAACAGTAATTTTTGCTTTATCTAAAGTGTTTAGGTAAGTATTTTAGTGGTAGTTTTGGAGTATTTTGTCTTCTATTACACTATTCATGCTTATGATCTTAATGCCCAATTATAAAATTAAGCTGGTTTTCTGTTGTTCAGAAGATAAAGATGGAACATACCCATCTTCAATAGCACTGAGTGATCACAACTGCTTTTCAGTTCTGATGTTTATTGCAGCAACCCAAAATTTCCAAAATAAAGCAGACTTAAAAGCATACATTATGTTTTGTTTGGCTTTTGTTTTTTAAATCTCACTCTTACATGGAGTCGGGAAGCTGGAAATAACTGTTTTTCTGTATGCATTTTTTTTACACTCTAGGTCAAGCTAAACGCAGTGACGTAATGATGCTGTGCAGTAGGCCATCCATTCTTGTTCTCTTCTGGCTTTTCTCCATATTCTTATATTTTCAAATGACTGAAATAGCCAACTGAGCATTTACCTTATATCGATACATATTATAAAAGCACAATTGGGCAAAAGCTCATATTTTCGAGTGTCCTCAGGTGATCATATGTGCCGAAAAGTTCTGTACAACATGAAGTAAGCTACAAAAGAGAAACCTCAATGTTCTCAGACTGAGATGCTAATGGAATATCGATTGCAGGACTTAGGTCCTCCAAAAAAAAAAAAAAATAAGGAAAAAAAAGCAACTTACTGCAAGCAATGGATATGAAAGAGCTTCTTAATTTTTGCAGGATTTTTGTGTAGCCATCATTAGCTAACTTAAATGTGCGAGTAACTGCCATTTTCTTTTGTGTACAGATAGTGAGGAAATCATTAGAAAAAAGTCGCTATGTAACTGTGCCAAGATCATGGTCTAAATATTGGGTAATATTTGTTGTATGTCCTCTCTGTAACTATCAGT